GCTAGCATTCATTTCTACCCTGCTTAAACCACCAATCCGTCCGACGTCAATAAAACAGTAGCACAGGTTCATTAGGGTTGCCCGTGGTACAGACTAGAGAACCACCAGTAGGGCAGAATTAAAAATATGTCATATTGTGTCCACGATTTACTTCGTGGTCTGAATGATTTTTTTTTTTTTTTTTAATTTCAATGAAAAGATTACGAGCAAATCTACTGACCCTCCAATTTTAGGGGTGTGTGACGCATTCTTCGGAGCGAGAAAAACCGTTGAAGTTGTACAACTTTCCCTGTTGGCCCGCAAATGGCATTGTAGCAGAACTCGAACGTGCCCCAAATCGGCGCGGCGGTTATTTCGAGGTCAAAATCATTTTTTAAACTATTTTTGATATTTTCCTTGGAAGGACCACGAGCAAATCTACGAAACCCCGAATTTTCGTAATTGTTTATGAATTCTTCAAAGCGTGAAAAATCGTCGAAGTTATCGTTGTCAAATTGCGAGACTGGGCCCGCCGTTTCGACCTCGGGTCGCCGCCCTCCCTAAGAGCACGCCAGAACTCACCGGGATGGGGGGGGCTATTTGCTGCTATGGGAGGGAGTGGTGTTTTAAAGTACCTCCTCACCTTTTCCGACAATGCACTGCGTGATAGCATGTGCGAATTGATTTGTAGTTCAAGAATACACATTTCGTTAAAAGTGTGTGTGATGTAGTCTCCAAGTTTGCTCTATGGAATTTTTAAGTGGCTTACAACGCCTCCTCACGTCTTCCGACTTCCTCTTTTAGCTTTTTGCAATTTCCACTAAAAGGGGTGCATATCGCTAAAAGGGGTGCACGAAGCCTTGACGTATCGCTGAAAGGGGTGCACGACGCCTTGACGTGTCGCTATAAGGGTTGCAAAAACATTTGATGTGCACTCGTCGTCGTCGTTTTTGCGATTCCCGATGTCCATTCCTTTTCGCTAAAAGAGGTCAACACCGGGTCTGCCATGGGTGCGCGAGCGTGAAGTGCAGTTGGAATCCAATACAATGCGGAAATGACCGTTAACAACGAATAATAATTGTTGGTGCCTGTGCCATGAGTTTTCACTCGCCTATGTTACGTCTTATGCTGGACCTTTAAAATGTGTGATGCATAACCCCTGTGCTTTGATTTTAATTATCGCTCAACTGTCGTATTGACGGATAAAGATGCACCATAATTGCAATGATTCACATCTGCGACAGTGAGAACTCTACGATGGCAAGATCCTTATGCGCGGAATGTTTTCGCGTTTGAAAATGGGTGCTCCAACTTTGCTGGCAGACTCTTTCACAAATGACACTCTAACATAACTCGAACGTGCACCAAATCAGCGTGGTGGTTGTTTGGAGGTCGAAATGATTTTTTAAAATGTTTTTGATATTTTTCCTGAAAGGACCATGGGCGAATGTAAGAACCCTCAAATTTTTAGAATTTATGTGAATTCTTCTAAGCGAGAAAAATCGACAACGTTGCCAATGTCAAATTGTGAGACTATGCCTGCCGTTTCGGCCTTCGGTCGCCACCCTCCCTAAGAGTCCGTCGTAACTCATTGACTTACCGTCAGGGCACGGGTGCGCAGCCCGAAGTTTGTATACGCTTGATTGATGAACAGAGAGAGAGAGAGAGAGAGAGAGAGAGAGAGAGAGAGAGAGAGAGAGAGAGAGAGAGCGCAAGTCCGAAGTGTCGTTTCAACCACTGCCCAAACCTGAGCACTTTCATCGGACGAAAGTGTCGTTTCAACCACTGCCCAAGCTTGCGCACTTTTGTCGGACTTTTCAGCCCCTGTCCCCGGCCCCACGCGCCCTTTCCATTTGCATCTTCTTTGCCACCATTTTGATTTCGATCGAAACCCAAAGCGTGGTCCCACCAACAGCTACCAGTCCCTCATTTTTCAGACAAACAACCACCAACCCCAAAAGTGTCACACCTGCATCTTCCTGCATTGTTCGAGACTTCCAACGACCAAACGACCCGACCAGTATAACGAAGGACGACGAAAAAATGTCTCCATGTCTCAAAGGGGGAAAAATGCACCCCTGACGGGCTGCGAACAGAGGGGGGCGATTTCGTGATGTAGGAGGGAGTGGTGGTTTAAAGCGTCTCCTCATCATTTCCGACGACGCACTATGAGAAAGCATGTGCGAATTGATTGGTAGTTTTAGATTCCCTCCTCCACCTTTGCTCGGCGGAATTTATAACTGGCTTACAACGTCTCCTCACCTCTTACGACTTCCGCTTTTAGCCTTTTGCAATTTTCGCTAAAATGGGTGCACGAAGCCTTGACGTATCGCTAATAGGGTCACAAAAACATTTAATGTGCACTCGTCGTCGTCGCTTTTGCGATTCCTGATGCCCATTCTTTTTCGCTAAAAGGGGTCGACACCGGGTCTGCCATGGGTGAGCGAGCGCGAAATCCAGTTGGAGTCTCATACAATGCGGAAATGACAGTTAACAATGAATAATAATTGTTGGCGCCTGTGCCGTGAATTTTCACTCGCCGTTATGTTACGTATGATGCTAGACCTTGAAAATGTGTGATGCCTTACCCCTGCCATATTGACGGATAAAGATGCACCAGAATTGCAATGTTTCACATCTGCGAGAGTGGAAACTGTACGATGGCAAGGTCCTTATATACGCAATATTTCCGAGTTTGAAATTGGGTCCTACAACATTCCTGGCAGGCATTACTGTCCTGCTTACAGCGCCTCCTCACCTCTTTCAATGACTCAATATGTGGCATTTCTATCCGGATTGCAGCGCCTCCTCACCTCTTCCAACGACTAAGTGTGTGAAAGCATTTGGGAATTAATTCGTAGTTTAAGATTCTGAGCTAAAAAGGCAGAATATGATTTCCAAGGGGGGTCAATGTGATTTTGAAGAGGGTTGGGGTGCTGAGGTTCGGATTGTTCAGTCGACGTTTGTGGCGCAATATTAAGTTTTGACATTGAGGATCTTCGCTCGACAAAAGAACGGGTAGCGCACTATTGACTTAAAGATTGTCCGACAAAGAACAAAAAGTAATATTAAGGGGATTGGGGTGCAGCAAAGAAGTTTCAGTAGGTGGCATGCARGAAAACGTACTCAKTTTTCAGATGCCGCTYWCCTTGAACTTAGCCAAAAGTGYTGAATGTGATTTCCTRGGGGTCGGGGTGCTGGGATMTSCTCGTGAGGTCGTCAACATCGTCTTCGACCGAGTTGTGAGAGATCCTGGCTTACCCCAAAGCATCCTCTCCGACCGTGACCCGCACTTTACCAGCACATTCTGGGGACGCCTACACGAGGTGTAC